TTGAGAACCACTGAGTTAGAACAAAAGGTAAAGAGATTAGCTGAAGAAGTTGATAAAGTAGGGTTTATGCACGGACGGAGAGAGGGGAGCTGGCCACCCCCTTGACTCCAGCCTTAGCTAAATTATATCCTACCATACTGCAAGACAATAGCGGGGATCCCTACCGAGACTGGTGGGAACAGTTTTCTCGATTGACTGATGATAGCCCTGACCCTCGAGATCCCCAGGAGGATCTCCGGGTAAAATACAAAAGGGGGAAGCACAGCTTTATCCGATACCCCTTATACCCGTGGAGAGCGATCTGGTATAACTGTAACACTGAGTGGGGACCAGAATTCTGACGAAGATGATCCTCTAACTTCCACTAGTATTAGAACATGGCGATTCAGGTGTGGTGGGAATAGAAAAAAGACTAGTTCCCCAAAACCCGAAGATATAGATTGGTGGGCAAAAGAGGTCCCACACCCTAAAAACGGTATGCAACAAATTTGGAGAGCTTTGATGGAGCTCAAAGATACTTTCGGTATTACCCCTCTAACTGCGACAATGATTTTAAGGAGAGCTGGGGGAAAGGAGGCTGAAACTATTATAAATTTATTCAAAAATAGAGGAGGGGGAGATTGGGAATATTTGAAAAATTGGCTGCGCGGTCAGTATCCACCCAAAACTGATTGGAGAAAAATGTCTGCCTGCAAACAAAAAGAATCTGACAATGTGTCAGATTATATTGAAAGATTTACAAATTCATGGGTGGAATTTTCAGGACTAGAAGATGAAGAGAACGATTTTATGGAACAAAGAGCGTCAGTAATTAAACAGCTGTTCTTGAATGGTTTAAAACCTGATATAGCTAAAGCATTGCAGCTTCGGTACCCTGATCTCTCTACTAATACAGTAAACCGTTTGAAGAGATTGCTGACGAGGAAAGAAAAATTGAGAGAACTATGTATGCAAAAGTACGCACAGTTCAAATGGGAATGTCTTTTAGTCACTCTGACGGTCCAAGAAGGGCAGGTCAATATTAACATCTGGTCTCTTCAGAAAGACGAAGTAAAAAATCATCCAATTTGGACTAAAGATAAGGATGAGTGTGGCCTTTTGGATAAGGAACTAGCTAAGTTTATGGGAAAACCACCCCCATACACTAAACCATACGTAGCGGCAATGCTTGTTAATAAGACAGAATTAAGTGTTGCTGTGCTTTCCCAAATGAGGCCTCTCTCTTCTCTCTTCATCTCTGTGGTGCAGCCACAGAGAAGCTATTCATGCAGGCTGATTTAAAGATGTTT